CTCGCATGGCAGGAGCTCGCCTGGTACGGCATCAAGCATGAAGGGGGTCGTCTGCAGCCTCGAGGTCGCCCGCGCGCCGATCCTCTCATGGTCTTCGTCGCTGGCGTCCGCCCGCGCTGCTGCTCATCCCCAAGCGCCCGCCTGCTCTTGCCGCACTGGCGACGTTGGTGCAGGATGAATCGGGTACGCGCAGAAGCCGGCCATCTGTTGTATCTGCGTCAGGGGTGTCCGTGCGCGCCGAAGGACTGAATTCGCATTCGTTGCGTCTGTTGTTGCTGTTTTCAATTGCATATGCGCTGTCACTTCGACGTCTCGCTCAGCGGTGTCCGTCTCCTTTGTCTTGATCACAAAACACTTCGGGCGTGCTTGCCTCAGCAAGGGGCCCCTGGCCATGACCTGGCACTAGACCGCTACATTATTCGTCTCGGCGGTGTGCTGGCGGCGCGCGTCTGGGTCAATCGGGCCCCTGATCGAATGCGCCCGCCCTTTGGCTGCCAGGAGAGCCTTCCACTGAGAGCCTCTGTAGTGCTTGAGCCCCGCGGCCAACGGGGGTGGGCGCACCCACGCTGACTGTCGCCTGGCCTCATCTGAGAGCACCAGCGACATCCCCATCGGGCCCTTCTCGAGCTGCTTACCCTCAACATTTCAGTGTGGCGCACCCTGGTCACGACGAAACCGATTCGGTGTTCTGTCTTGCCATGGGTGGTGCGGTTTGCCATATCCACGTGCCCTGCAGGTCGTGCGAATGGCGTGGTTCTGTACGCTGCGGCCTGCGCAGTTGCAGACCCAGGCCGCAGTGCTGTCGCTCGTACACGGAGCAAACGGCTGGCGGCGAGAGTTGCCGCTTTGTCCCTGACTCATGGCTGTTGGTCCACTGCTATGACGACGAGCCAATAGACCAGCTGCAACGCCGAATCGCAGCAAACCGCGAGTCACATGTCGTTTCCGCCTGCGGCGCCCGTGCCTGGCCGCGCGCGCTCTGATGGTCGTCGGCGCACCTGGTGCAGAACCCACGCCGACAGAATTCGAGCTGTCACGGCGGCTGGAGGAGGAGGAAGGGGGGGAGGAGCGAGGTGGAGGGATCCCCGAACCAAGCGCCCTCTTGCAACAGCCTTGAGGTTCCAGCGTTGCACCCCCTCTTTTTGAACGCTCGCTTTGCCTCGCGGTCTCAGCGCCTGGCCTCGGTGTGGGCGATTTGTGCGAACACCATCCGCCCGCAGCCACACCACAAACGATAAAACACGACAACGCTTCGGATAGACGGTGAGACAACCAGCTACTTACAAGCATAGACGTTCGCATGTCCGCGCTGACGACCTGGATCGGTGCTGGATGTGCTGCCAAGGGGGTACGCCGCCAGCGGGGTCCAGCGCATATCCAATAATTCCGCGGGGTCCGCGGAAGGGTACGATTAGGGGGGACCGGCTCAGGGAGGAAATTATCGACCTGGACTCGGCGATACATCGCTGAAAGATCGGCGATAGGCCCCGGATGGCGGAACCGTACGGTATTGGGCGAGGTGGGACTATCGGGCACCTAGAGCGCGTCTTTTATGTTCGGCGATGACGGGCGTCGTCATTGGGGGGGGGGGCGGGGGGCGGGTATGACGTATCGCCCCCCCCCGCCGTGTGGCTCCAGCACCACAACCGCGGTCGCGCGCACGACACGACGAGCGACGAGCGACGAGCGACGAGCGACGACGACGACGAAGACGACGACGACGCGACCAGCATGTAGGGGGCGATATGCCCAACGGCGCCTGTGTACACCACAGTGCTCGCGTGCCCCACAGCGCGCGTGTACACCACAGCGCCCGCGTACACCGCAACAACCGTGTGCAACGCAGCGCCTTTGTACACCACAGTGCTTGCGCACACCACAGCGCCGGTGTACACGTGTACACCGCAGCATCTATGTGCAAAACAGCGCCCGTGTACACCACAACGCTTGCGTGCACCGCAGCGCCTGTGCACTCCACAGCGCCTGTCTACACCACAACATCCGCGTGCAACGCAGCGCTAGTGTACACAACAGTGCCTGCTCGCAGGACAATGCTGAAAATCATGTGTGATGTTTTTCCCTCTTCCCCCCCCCACCTCCACCTCCACCTCCTCCTCCACCTCCTCCTCCTCATCCTTACCCCCTGTCGTGCGGGTTGGCGCTACAACGCACGTGCGCATCTCAGCATGCACCGCGGAATGGTCGATTGAATCGGTCCAGTTATCGCACGGCCGAATGGTGGATCCTCATGGACGCAGATGGAAAGAGTTAGGGTGATGCGGGCGGACTCGGGAGGACTCGTAGATTCCAGCGGCGCTCCTTTGTCCATGAAGATATCATTCGATTGTTTTCTGTGAAATCCACGGGCACTCCATTTTATCATAAGGATTATTTCCAACAGTCTACAAACAACAGTGGTGTTGTGTTGCAGACGGTTGCTGCAATGCACACAAGCGCCGTGGTGCACACAGGCACTGCAATGCACGCAGGCATTGCGATGTACACTGGTGCTGTGTTGCACACGGCTGATGTGGTGTACGCGGGCGCTGTAGTGTACACAACAGCAGTTGTTTGTGCCCGCAAGCACGGTGGCACAAACTGACGCCGTGTTGCACGCGGCTGCTGGGGTGTACATAGGCGGTGTTGTGTACTCAGGCGTTGTGGAGCACGCAGGCACTGTGGTGTATACAAGCGTTGTTGTGCAGATCGCCACCTACATGTTGGTGCTACCCGTCCTCCGTCATTCGTAGACATTCCCAGACACCGCCGGCGTGAAACGTGACGTCAGCGACCCCCTCCCCCCCCAAATGATTGCCGTCATCGGCCCAGAATAAAAAACAGGCTCCAGCCGCGTCCGCGCGCACGACGACGATGAGCGACGAGCGACGAGCCACGAGCGATGACGACGACGACGACAACGACAACGACGACGACTGCGGACCAGGCTTCTATGCGGATTCCTACGCGGACACCTACGGATCCCAACGCGCACGGCGGCTGTGCCCCGAGCGCACTGGGGGGGCAGCGTTACGTCATAGGGGGGGGAGCGGGGGCCATGACGCCCGTCATGTCCCTAGCAGTAAAGAAACGGGCTCCCATCAACAATGAATGGGAGATCGGCGGTCGATGCGGTCCCCCCCGAGCTTTTTCCTCCCCCTTCACGCTGCCCTTGAAGTAACCGTAGCGCGGTGCCCACCCGGTGCCCACGGGCATCTCCAGCTGCTCGGGGTGAAAACGCCTAGGGCTGGATGAGGAGACCAAGGAGGAGCGGGTTGGAGCCTGGGCAACGGGCATCTCCTGGATGAGAGCAGCCTCTACCCTTCAGTCGGGCCTGTCCCCCTACAGGGGGATTTGGGGCGAAAATCTAAAGACACCCAGAACAAATGCTCCCAAAATGCTCAAAAACATAAAAAAAGAAATTAGTCCCCAGACCATCTTTTCACTATTTTTGAATATTCCCCCTGTAGAGGGACAGGCCCGACTTAACTCCACCCCCTTCGATCCGACCTCAACCCCTCCGTCCCGCACTCGTGGATCCATCGCCGCTGTTGTGCTCGGGGCCTCTCTCGCCCTCCTCGGCCACACGCAGGTGCGCCACCCCGGGGCCAGAGCGAGTGACCTCCATGTGCGCCGGCCTGCCGACCGTTGCATGCGATGGCACCGTTTTCGGAGCAGGGCGAGTTGAGACAACGGCAGCTCAAGATCGGTCCCAGGGCCCCTCCCGTGGTTCACATGCACCAGGTCTTCCGAGCTGCGTCCAGCCGTGGTGACGAGGGGTTCCCCGAAGGCCACCGCGGTTACCAAAACTCGCCCTCCTCTGACTCAGGTGCGCCAGCTTGCCGATCATTGCGTGCGATGCGACAGTGTGTCTTGCCATCCCGCGCCTCCGAAAGCCCAGCACCGAAGGTCCCTCTGGCGAGGGGTCACCCTCACGTGAAAGCGTTCGTTGGCGAGGCCGTCTTGCCATGCCGCGGGCACAGCAGGGGGCCAAGAGGAGGAGGAGGAGGAGGAGGAGGAATAACGCAACAGGCATCACACCCAATGTTAGTCCAACGCAAAGAGGAGGAGGAGGAGGAGGAGGAGGAGGAGGAGGAGGAGGAGGAAGAAGAGGGAGAGAGAGACGCAGGCAGCGGCAGCCCCACCCCCCTCGTCGCAATGTCGAGGATGAAATACGAGTTGATCAGTGAGGCGATAACAAACAGGTGGCCGTCGATTTGGACCTTGCGGCGCGGCGACGACTACGAGGACGAGGACGAAGGCAAGGTTCCCCAGCCGACAGCGACAAAGACGACGACAGCGACAACGCCGACGAGGGCGAAGAGAAGACGGATACGACGAAGACGACGACGACGACGAAGACGAGATGACGACGACGACGACGACGACGACGACGACGACGACGACGTCGAGGCTCTGGCCGATGGCGACGACGTGGACGGGCGCCCCCTGGCCGAGATGCCTCCCCTGCGCAAGCGGCGCGTCCCCATCCTCCTGGTGTTTGCCAGCTGGGGCACTGGGTGAAGGTGAGCGGAGTGGGGGGCGAGGAGGCTCGTCGTGGGAACGACTACAAGCTTCAAGTCTGTTCATGGGGCCATCAAGCCGGATGGCCGAGGATTGAGCCAGAGTGGGCCCAGGATTCAGCGGGATTACACATGGTTGGACGGAGGAGGATTAGACTGGAGCAGGACGCTTTTCCACCACGGATATGCCAGCGCCGATGTTGAATTTCAGCTTCCAAGAATTGCAACCGAGAAGGGGGAGGGGGGGGCATGTCTCCTCGCGTCGTGAACAATGCGACGGACGGTGTTTTGTTACTGCTTACTACAATACCTCCAGGCCGGGATGACTCCGTCAGCAAAAAAACTCGAGGTGAAAAGCTGGCCCCGGGGAAGTGGTCTAAACCTGCGACGTTCGCTTGAAGAGATCACGACGTCGGGGGTCCGGGGAGGGTGCAGACGAGGGGGGAGGGGGGAGGTAACGTAGGATGACCCCGTAGCCATTTTGGCTCAAGCCATTTTGGCTCAAGCCTTTTCCCGTGGCCCGTCCTTCGGTCTCCCGCGCAGGGCGCGCATGGCCGTGAGGGCGCCGCTGGAGGGTGCGGGCTTGGGAGCGATGGCGGCGGGGAGACGGCCGTGGCGGCCGTCTGAGGCGTTGTGGAGGCCTCAGCGCGAGCGGCGGGCCGCACAGCGCTGGGCAGCCCTCTCCCGCGAGCGCCTGGTGGAGCGCCAGGCGTCCGAGCTCGTGGAGCTGCGGAGCCTGGCATCGGCCCCCCCCAGCGTCCTGCGCCGCCTGGCGCTTGTGGCGCCCGTGCTGATCGCCCAGGAGTACGGCGGGCCGCTGGAGGAGGAGCGCATCCTCGAGCGCAATGTGGGGTGCCACGCGCGGGCCCTCCCGCGGCCTGGCGCTCCGCGGGCCGCCTGGAGGAGGGCGCAGCGCGGGCCGCGCACTCCGTGCCCGAGGTCGGCCGTAGCGGCGAGCTCAGCGGAGGCGGAGCCGCGGGCCGTGGGCGCGGATGCCATTCACGTCGCTGATCTGGAAGCGGAGCTCCTAGCGGAGGCTGACGCCCAGGCGAGCGGCGGTGCGTTCCCTCCCCCGCCAGGCGTTTGGCTGGTCGCTGACCCACTGGCAGGAGCGAGGGCCTTCCGGGAGGGCTTCGACGCGGGCTGGCGCCTTGCTGGGACGATCTCCGGCGCTCCGCGGGGCGGCGACGGCGTGGTGCTGCAGGAGCAGTGCGTGCCCTCCTCGTCCTTCCGTGGCGCATGGGAGGTCTGCAGCGACGGTGCGTGCGGCGGCGGGCAGGCTGCCCCTGCCGCCAGGGCAGAGCCTGGCCCTCCCCGCGAGGAGGTCTGGAAGGCAGGCGCGGCGATGGAGGAGGACGGCAGGGCCGCCCTCCATGCGCCGTGCCGTGCGTTCGATGGTGTGCAAGGCGGTACTGCAGGCGAGAGGGCGCCGCGGCCGCCGCTGCTTCTGGAGAGCCTGGCGGGCCCAGGCAGTGACGACGGCTTCGATGACAGCTTTGTGGACGGCCCTGTCGACGGCGACGCGGACGGGGACACGACCTGCCCAGGACACCCCGCCCGTTCGGAGCCCGACAGCCACGTCCTGGAGTATCTGGACCGCTTCGGCGCGGCGGTGCTGAGCGGCGGCACGGCCGTGGAGCTGGGGAGGGGCACCGCTGGCTCCGTGCGGGCCGCTGCTGCGGCGAGTGCCGAGTGGTACCTCCGTTTCCTCGATGAGTTCGGCTTGGCCGCGGTGGCTGCTGCGGCCCGCGGGCCGCTTTCGGGAGTGGAATCGCTCCTGGACCTCGCCGAAGGCCGCGCCGAGGTTTGGCTTCAGCAGCGGGAGCTTACACTCGGAGACAGGGCAGAGGAAGATCGCCGCGCTGAGAGCTTACTGTTGCAGTAGGGAGTTCGTTGTGACTCTTTATCACGGTGATTGCTTTGAGGTGGATGGGCAGTGATCGCTTCTGGCTTGTGCTGTCCTCACACCTTGATGCTGGGAGTCGTGAGTGAAGCCTCCTGTACTTGAATGTGCACGCTGTGTATTTGCAATGCAGTCGAGTTCACTCTGGCGCAGGTAGAGTAGTTTCGTTCTGCTCTGCGCTGCTGCAAGGGGGGTCGGCCTGTCATCCGTTCGGCAGCCGTCCCCTGGTAGCCGCGGTGGAGGCCCAGGGCAGCCCCCGCGGGGTGAGGCGGCCCTAGGCAGCCCCTCTCGGGAGGGCGTGTCTCGGGTGGCGCTGGTGGCCCGAGGAGGCCCCTCGGTCCTTTTGTCTTTCGCCTTTAAGGCCCCGTCTTTAACTTTAACTTTAACGTAGGATGACAATTCAGAAAACGTCGTGAGGGGGACGAGCAAACCTATGGTTTGCTGCCACTGGGAAACATTTTTGAGGGGACGATCCAATAACTTATATGGCGGAGACGACGTCCACGAGAAGGGGGATGGGAACCTACGTCGGCTACGCGCGGCCGTTGGAACGTGGCTTCAGGGGAGGGCGCGGGCTGGCCTGGGCGAGGCTGCGGGGGCCAACCCAAACACTCTGCGAACGTGCACCCAGTTGGGCTTCTTGAGGGGAGCCCCCAATGCGCCCGCACCTTGCCACCGCTCAGACGTTCATTCACCTGGCCTGTATTGTCTGGTTTCTCCAGAGATGGGACCAGATTTTCTGGCGCTGGCCTTTTGCCGAACAACACGTGTACCCGACCGAGCGAAGCCCAGCGGATCTTAGGATGGGGGCCCCGTGGTCACGCAGGCTAAAAGAGTCACCTCTACGTGCGCATGGCAGCGGGAGGGGCACGGCGACCTCCCGGGGGGGGGCGGGGGACGATGCGGGGGGACTGGCTTCGGGGGGGACAAGTCGGCGGCGGACAAACCTCCCTTTAGTAGACCACCGCTTGCCTGGCATTGCGGATCGCCCACTCCCCCCTTCCTCCCTTCCTTCTTCCCTCCCTCCTCCCCTTCTTCTTGCATGACACAATGCTGGTGCAACTCCCACCGCCGCCCACTACTGCAATACGCGGTGGTTGCGTTCCGGCGCGCTTGCACTCAGCCCCGACATGTCTCCTGCACGAATTTTCCTTGGCCTTCTTCACTGCAATCTTTTCTGCCGATGCGCCGTCTAGGTGCGGCTTCTTGCGTGCGTGCCTTTAGTGTCAGGGTGGGGGGTCTGTCCACCCCCGAAGAAGGCTGCTCTGGAATCGACGACACACCACCGCTGGATCGGCGACGGGCTTGCGGCAGCGAGAACGCATGCCCCACGAGCCGGACGGGGGGCACCGAGGCCTCGCTTCGCGAGGAATGGGCGGTTGGGGGGCGCTGCTCCCCGCGCTTGGCCACGCTCCCCCCTGTCGACTCCCCTGGCCCCGACCCCCGACGCTGCGAGACCTGTTGGCGGGCACCACACGTGGGGCCCACCTCTCGGGGGGCACGCATTGGGATCTGTGCATTCCTGGCGTGGGGGGCGTCCGAATAGCCCCATGGAGGGGACTCCCCGACTCGCCTTCCTCTTCTCGAGGAGGCGCCTCGGGGACCTAGGGGCCTCCCAGATGGGGTCGGAGTAGATGGGGTCGGAGAATCGAGCAGCATCGTCGATGCATCACCGATGCATCGGCGACATCGGCGATGCATCGGCGACGGTGGCGTGGTTGACATCGGGCTCTACATCGAGTCGCATCGTCGATGCACTGCGATGCGGCGTGATCCTCCGAGCCCGTCTACCCCGGCCCTGTCTGGGAGGCCTAGAAGCTCGGGGCGAGACATCGCCCTCGAGGAGGAACGACGGGGAGAAACTCAAGGGGCCCAAGGACACACAAATATATACACACACAAATAAAACACACAAACCCATATGTTCCTATATTTTCTGAGTTTTTGTCTTTCCCCCCACTTCCCAAATTGTCATATATTTTCCTGGGAGTCGACGATTAATTGTGTCTGTGTGTTTTCCCCCTCCTGAGAAGCAGAGGGAGCAGGAGCAGGACTCGGATGCTCGAAATGGGTGCGGGCAGACACTGGTACCATGGTCAACCGATCGCGGCCGCCGTTGGGCAGCTCCCCGACTGCCTCAGATGGACAACATTGAAGGGGCCCTGGGACACACAATAAATACTCACAAATCAAAATATTCTCCATATGTTCCTATATTTCCTGGGTTTTTGTCTTCCCCCCCACTTCCCATAGTTTCTCAAATTTTCTGGGGAATCGACGATTAATCGTGTCTGTGTGGTTCTTTCCTCCTGAAAAAACATCCTCGGGAATACCTCCAGCGAGGCCCGCCCCCCCAAAAAAGCAGGAGCCACAACGAGTCCCGTCCAGAACGAACAGGAGCTGCTTGCGGCATCCGTGCCCATTCTTCCCGTATCCGTTCCGACCGTGCCAACAGTGACGAACCAACACCACACACCCATATCTATAGGGGGTTCGGAGAGGGCTATGGGTGCGTGTTGTCGGATGGGGGTCCCCGCTCGAACGGGAGCGTTCCCCAGGGTCCGACAACCCGCACCCATACCCATAGCCAGTCCTCCTCCCAACGACCCCCCTATGGGTATGGGTGTGTGTGTGTGTTAATCGTTCGTCATTTTTCTCTCGGCGAGGACCATGGAGGAACATCCTGGATGACTTAACGAAAAAGGCACGCACGGGATCGTGTGTGTTGTCCGTTCGTCAAACCGAGCGGCGCGGCGGGGGGGCGGGCGCACGTCGAAGGCCCAGAACGCCGGCGCGCTGAAGCTCTCGTAGACCTGCGCCCCCCGCCCCGGCCGCGGCGAGGAGAGGAACGCCAGAGTGAAGTCGGGCCTGTCCGCCTGCAGGCCGCTTTCGGACGAAAAATAAAAATGAGCAACAAAAAGCAATCAAAACTATAAAAACTGTCGCGAAATCGTCCCGAGACCATTTCGTGACTGCTTGTGCATGTTCCCCCCGTAAAGGGACAGGCCCGACTCAACGCATGAGCATCCCCGGGTGCGGCACCCCGAGGTAAAACAGGGCTAGGATCGGGATAAATCGCTCCAGAGCGTTCCAGAGCGGCCGCGGCGCCCAATACATCCTCCAAACCCGCCGATTCTCAGAGATTTCGAATTATCCTGATCCGATTTTGTCCCGATCTTCGGCGTCGTTTGACGAGGGGAAGGGGCGGACCCGCAATGTCGGCGCGGAGCGCGCAGTGTCGGCGCGGACACGGCCGGCCCGACGGGCGCCGCGCGGGCGGGCCGGGGCCCGAGTCAGGAACCGGAGGGGCGGGGCCGAAGCCGGAAGGAGGGGTGCCGGGGCGGGGCGGGAGCCAGGGAGGCGTGTCCAGAGAGAGAGAGAGAGAGAAGGGGGAGGGGCCGACAAGGGGGGCCGAGGCACGAAGGAAATCTTCGACTCCTCCTCCTCCTCCTCCTCCTCCTCCTCTTCCTCCTCTTCCTCCTCCTCCTCCTCCTCCTCCTCCTCCTCCTCTTCTTCCTCCTCCTCCTCCTCCTCCTGATCCTCCTCCTCCTCCTCCTGATCCGCCTCCTCATCATCATCTACCTGCTCCTCCTCCTCCGCCTCATCATCGTCCCGCTCCTCCTCCTCCTTCATCCTCCTTCCCCCTCCTCCTCCTCCTCTTCCTCCGCCTCCTCCTCTTCCTGCTACTCCATCCCCTCTTCCCGCTCCTCTTCCACCATCGCCTCATCATATTTCACCTGCTCCTCCTACTCCATCCCCTCCGCCTGGGCTGTCCTTTGGCCCGTGCGATTCCACCTGCGGGGCGGCTACGCATGCTTCCAATTCGCGGCCACCAAGGCCAAACGCTTGATTTCGTGCGCATGTGATCAGTATGTGCCCGAATGTGCTCTCTCTGTAAGTTGGCGCGCGTGGGATCCTAGGGGTCGTTGTCTTGTCTCAGTCTCTATCCCCTCCTCCGCATCCTCCTCCTCCGCCTCCTCCCCGTCCTCCTCCTCCTCCTCCCCCATCCTCCTCCCCCTCCTCCAACGACCGCTTCCTCCGTTCCCCCCTCCATCTTTCCGCCTCCTCCTCCCCGTGCCCCAGGGCCCTCGGGTCCGGAGGGCCCCGGGGCGGGCCGCGCGCCCGCGCCCGCGCCCGCCGCCGCGGGCCGGGCGCCGCTCCTCCCCCAGCCCCCAGTCCGCCCGCCCCGGGGCAGGGGCCCGCCGCCGTCGCAGGTGCCGCCCCGCCGCCGCTCCCGGCCGCCGCCTCCGCCGCCCTCACGCTCCTCCTCGGCGCTCCTCCTCGGCGTTCCTCCTCCTTGGCCTCGCCGCTCCTCCTCGGCGCCCCTTCCCCTCCTCGTGCTAAGGCTGTCCTCGTGCCAGTGCTGTCCTCGTGCTAGTGCTGGCCTCGTGCCAGTGCTGTCCTCGTGCTGTCCTCGTGCTAGTGCTGTCCTCGCGCGTCCTCCTGCAGCAGCGCTGTCCTCGCGCTGGCGCCGTCGTCGTGCTAGGCCGCCGGTTCCAGGCCCAGGGGCGTGAATCACCACCCCTGCGTTAGGCGCGCTGGCTGGCCCGACGACCACCTCAGGCAGCGCTGATGAGCGTGCGCGCCACCTCCCGGACCACGTAGATGGCGATGGACCGGTGGAGAGTGCTGAGAGCCCCCTGTCGCCCAGGGCCCTCCAGCACTTGCGGCGCGAGCCATTTCCGGGTGGACTCGCCCATGGCTCCCGAAACTTCGAAGCCGAAGGGCTGGGAACCAGCGACTCCGTTGTATTTGCGACGCTTGGCCTGTTCGCCCAGTCTCGCAGTGGTGCTTTGGGTGTGGGCCCCTCCGGCCTGCAAGCTCTGCTGCGAGGCGGCATGCGCGATCGCTAGGTCAAGATAGGCCCACTGGCCGTCACCTGAGGTCCGCGCGGAGACCCGGATTGCCTGGCCCGGTGGGCGGGCGAATCCACTGTTCGACTGCGATGTCGCAAATGCCGGCTTCACGTAGGGCTCGCGCGATGGCGTCGCGCAGATTGTTGCGCCTCTTAACCACGAAGCCGCCATAGGAGCAGCAAAGCGCGTGGCGTCGGTTAGCGTCGACGGTGCCGGCGCAGATGGTTCCGCCCTCCTTTCTGAAGGGACAGGGGCCGTCAGCTGCGCGTGCAAGACCTCCGAGTCTGTGTCTCACGGCCATCCTGAAGTGGGCGTCAGCGAGGTGGTGGTCGGGCCGCGTGGGCGGCCCAGGCCGCGCGCCTGCTCTCTTGCCTGCTGTGCTAAGAGCCTAGGCCCGTTGGTGCGGTTCCGTCTGGGTGCGTCGTAGCCACTGCGTCCACTCTGCGCGCCGCCTGTGCCTGGTAAAGCGCCGCTGGGTGGTGTCGGGCGGCTCCGTGTCGGGTGCCTGCTGCGCTGCATCTTCCTGCGCCAGCGCGTCGACAGTGCTCTGGGGGGCGGTGGGGCGCTGGTCTCAAGCCCAGGCAATAATGGAGAAGGTCATCTCTATCGCGGAGGCCCAGTCGTTGGAGTTCTGGCTTCTCGCAGAGTGCCCACGAGGCCGCCTGAGCATCCAGGCGCACTGCGCTCACGCTCTGAAAACCCAAGCCGCCCGAAGCGACAGGGTGCCAATATTTCTCTTTCTGCTCCGCTGTGAGGTCGTGCGTTTGCACTAGCTCCTCCAGCGTGCTGAGCAGGTCGGCGTCGAGCTCGGTCGCCGTTTGGGCGGGAAGTCCGGCGGTGCGCATGTGCCACGTCATGTCTCCTGCAGTGAGGGTTCGTAGTAGTACCAAAGACGTCTGAACGTCTAGGCCGGCTTTGTGAAGGTCCATGAGTCTGGCCATGGCAGTCGCCCTCCAGGTTCGTTGGCTACTTAGTCGCGGCGAGGCGGGTGAGTGCAGGCTGCCCTCCTCGGCGTGCTGGTCGGCGGTTACCGGCGCCGGTGACGGGCCGGAGTAGTCGCCGGCGCGTTGGCTGCTCTACTCGTGGCACGGGTAGGCCTGCTGGTATCGCGGCAGGATTCCTCGCCCACACCTCACATTTGTCGACGCGCGTTTGGAGGCCGGTTTGGCTCAGTGCATTGGTGTATGCTGCGTATATGGCGCGCAAGTCCCCAGGCTTCGCATGGATGGTGAGGTCGTCGATGTAGCCGAAAAGCTCGCGCTGTATACCTGCTGCGTCGAGTTGGTGTTTGGCCCTCTCGAGGGCTCGGTCGAGTCCGAGGCAGAAGAGCGTGGTGGCCATGCCGCGCCCCTGGAAAATACCCGTCGTTTGGTTCCAGATGTGCATTCCGCCCCCGGTGTCGTGGTAGACTACCTGCCCGGCGTCCGGCCGGGAGCCTCTTGCCCATCGGCGGAATTCTCGGCAGTGAGCATCGATGCCTTCGTTGATGTACACCCTGCTCAAGTTCTGGAAGGCGTCTGCAGCGCCCAGAAAGAGCGCAGCGTAGTCCTGGCGGACGTGGAGGGCTGTGGACACGTGCTTGTGGACCAGTTCCGCCCCAGCCGCGTGCTTGTGCCCGAACTGCTTGCCGCGAAGCCCCATCGGCGACCTCGTCCGCCGCCATTTTGCTGACCGCCTTGGACGCGAGACGGCGGAGCGGGCTGGCGAGGTTGATGGGGCGGATTCGGGTGGGGCTCTTGGTGAGCGGGAGGAGGCGGGCGGCCGTCGCCAGTTCCTGCACTTCCTGCGGGAGGGTGCCGCGGGCTAGTGTTGCGGCCACTGTGGCCAGGGCACACAGAGCGGACAGGTCAGTTTGGGCAAGCTGGAAGTGCTCGCACCGCCACCCGTTGGGCCCAGCTGCGTTTCGTTTTGGTGCGGCCCGCAAGGCTTTGGCGAAGTGTAGCGCGAACTGTTGCTGCTCGTCGACCTGTTCGTCGTAGGCGGCTGGTGGCTGCGGCTGATGGTGTGGGATGAGCTGCGGCGCGGCTTGAAGGGCCAACTCGTCTCCGGCAACTTCGAATGCTTCGCGGAGGACTCTCGTAGCTTTGCCCACGGCGCCGGCCTCCACGAATTCGCGTGCCGTCATAACGTCGTCCTCTGCGGTAGTCTTCCGCCTGGCGCGCAAAGGAGGTGGGGCGGAGTCAAGGACGGCGCCCCAAAGCTGTGCTTCGCGGTGTTCCCTGATATCCGTGGCCCAACGGAACAGCGCAGTGGTGAGCTGAACGTTGCCTCTCTTACCGCCTTTGAGGTTGGCGTGCCCGAGCAGCAGCTCTGGGAACATGAACCAACGCTTGGCCGCCTTGGTGATGGACTCCGGGGTGTGGGCGAAAGCCTTCGTGTGCTCCGTTACGATGGCGCCCACCATCCCCGCGAGCGCGCGGCGGTAGATGGGCGGCCGTGGGCACTGGTTGTTGGACCATTTCTGGCGTGATGGCGTCCGCCCATTCGGCGTTGGTGTCGCTGCTGACGTGCCTGGCCGTGTCGAGCTGGAGTTGCGCGCCGGCTGGCGCAGGCGGCGTCGGCGCGGTGACGACGGCATCCCATGTGTGTTCAACTTCTCTTTTTGAATGCAAAAGGAAGGTCGTCGGCCAGTTCCAGGGCAGCGTTGCTGGTGTGGGCGCAGACAAGAGCGCACTCCAAGCAGGCGACGGGGCTCTGCGGCGCAACGTTTGTGCGACAGCGGATCACCTGCGGCGGTATATTGGAAGTACACATCGCGCGCGTAGCTGCTCTGCCCGTCCGTGGGAGCGTGGCGTACCACGTCGCGGCGTCCTCTCGTGGCCGTCGCCGCGACCGTTGCCCGGCAGCGTCGTCTGGTAGGGCGCCAGGCCCGGCGGCAGCTGCAGTGCCAGAGCGGGAGGTTTCGCCAGTTCGTTGCGCCCGAATCCGCCCGTGTCTTGCCTCGAGGGGCCCGGCGTCGGTTGGCGCATTCGTGTCCATATCGTCCGTTGTGGCGGCCGCGGCCGCGCCAGGGCCTTCCCCGAGGTACCCCAGCGTGCAGTCGAAGCCCAGCTCGCTCCACGTCGCGGCCATTGCAGCTGGCGCCATCCCGTAAGTTTGGTTTTTCCTGGCCAGGTTTTCGAGCTGCGTCCAGCCGTGGTGACAAGGAGCCCGAGGTGTCGGGGTACTCAATGTCGCCGTGGCCAACGTCATCGTGTAGCTGGCGGCACCGACAGCAGCTCCCGTAAGCGCAGCGGCCAGCAGGCAACTAACGAGCAGGACGATCGCGAGAGCGTACTTCTTGCCAGACTTCTGCACCTCCCGCGAGCGGTGCGCACCGAGGCCGCGTCCAGCACATTGACGCCATGCGGCGGACAGATCTTGACCGCTCGCTCCTGAGGAGCCTGACCCCGCCTCGCGGCCGCGGCCGGCCTGCGCTTCGCGCCCGGCACGAGGCCCCGCGCCGCGCCCGCGGCGCCCGAGCCCTCGCGAGGCGCCCAGCGGCCCTGCAAGACCGGGAGGTCCAGCTGCGAGGCTGCCGAGGTCGTCGCAGGCAGGGCCCGCGGCGATCGGCCCCGCGCCCGCGAGCGCCCGAGCATGCCAGGCCGCGACGCGGAGACTGCCAGCAGACAGCGGGAACGTCGACGCAGTCGGAGGCGAAGCTGGGGAGGCCGGACCAAAACGGCGACACGGCGTCCCCCGAGCCTGCCCCAGGACGGCGTGGGGAGTGTCCACGCCAGGCTCGACGTGCTTGCCATTCGTGCTGTGCGTGACGGGGCTGTCACTGCCCATGTTGATGTCGTGCTTCGCAGGGGTGCCGTGCTCGTCTGAGGTGTCGTGCTTGCCGGCGAAGTCGCGCTTGCCACCGATGACGTCGTGCTCGTCCATGACGACGCGCTTGCCCAAAATGTCGTGCCCGTCACCGAGGATGCCGCGCTTGTCTGAGGTATTGTGCTCGCCCTTCGTGCAGGGCTCACCCACGGAGGCCTCGTCTATTGAAGGGGCCCTGGGCCACACAAATAAATGCACAGAAATAAAATGATTCCTCATATTGTTCTATGTTTTCTCCGTGTTTGTCTTCCCTCTCAATTCCCATAGTTTCCAATATTGTCTTGGGAATCGACGATTAATTGCGTCTGTGTGTGTTTTTCCCCTCCTGAGCTATGGACTTATGTGTGGAGACTATGATGGTCCCCGCTGGCTTGGTAGTAGACCACCTGTCCCTCGAGGGCCCGTCCGCCACACCGAACTCCGTAGGGGCCCACCTCACGCACGGATGCGACCCCGAAGCCAGGGAGAGGGCGGCGAGGCGGTGCATGCTACGGATCGGCGGCGGGCGAGGGGGGAAGTGAGCAGGAGAAGGCCTCCTCAAAGGCGGCGGGACTGCTCAGAGGCCCTCGCGCCTCCTGAAGAGCTGTTCCTGCCTGCGGGGAAGGCTCACAAGACTTCTCAGAAGGCCGGGGGACGTCCGAGCCTTCTGAGCAGGCCCGCCCCTTCTCAAGTCCCCCCCCTCGCTCGCCGCCGAACGACGGAGCATCGCGTAGGAGTGGGCTCGCGTGCGGGACGAGGCGGCGGCGGCCGTGAGCGAGTCACCAAAAGCGCCACAGTCGCCTGTCCATTGGAGTCCTGGCGCTGCGCAGGGCACGGCGAAGGTGGTAAGTGGGCGGCCCTAACTGCGAGCATCGGCAAGGGCTCCACACGGTCCCGCTTCCTCCTGCCCGTGACTGTCCAACTCGCCGTCGCTCGGACGTCCATTTCCTGTGTAACTATTCTTGGGTTTCGTGCGTGGTTTTTTGCTCGATGGTCCAGGATGCTCCTCGATGGCCCTCGCCGAAGGAAAAATGCACACGTCCGAGCGATGCCAAGCCAAGACGACCGTTCCAGGAGTCTCGTCGGCACCTCCTGGGCACTCGGCGAGGTCACGCTCCGAGAGCGGGCCGCCGGGCGTGGTCAGCTGGCCGTCCGCCGACGGCGCGGAGGCGGCGTTGGTTACTCACGGTGCGCGTCTAAAAGTGCACAGTTACGGCGCGCACGTACGGTGCTGAGCGCGCATTTGCTGAGCGGATTCACGATCTTGGGCGCCAGAGCTATCCGGGGTAACTCGGGCCCGGGGTAACTCGGGCTTGGATTCCCGAAAAACGAACCCGAATTAGCCCTGACCCGAATTATCCCTGATGATTTGGGGCTCTGGACGCCCGAGTTATCCGGGGTAACTCGGGCCCGGGGCAACTCGGGTTCGGATTCCCGAAAAACGAACCCGAGCTAGCCCTGACCCGAGTTACCCCTGATGATCCGGGTCTGTGACGATCGGCGCTTGCAGTGAGTACTGACAGTGTAGCGTACACTGCGCACACACTGTGTACACACACGTGTATCACGGTGCGTATACGAGATCCATATGTACGGTGCGTGCGTACGGTGCGTGGTTGAAGTGCGTGTTCACGGTGGGATTCTACCATGTTCACGGCATACTGTACACTGAATACACGCTGTGTACACACACGAATGATTCACGGCAGGTGTTTGCGGTGCGCGCTGACGGTGCACGTTCGCGGTGACTACTTGCGGCGCGTATTGGCTGTGCGCATGTACGGTAGTTGCGGTGAGGACTCACGGTGTAGAATGCAATGCGCAAAGGCTGTGGAGGACACCAAGAAACTGCCAAGAGAAATCCGAACAGACACCGAGAGGCATCCAACAAGCCTGTCTCCTTCTCCTCCTCCGCCTGTTCCTCCTCCTGCCTCCTCCCTGTTCCTCCTCTCCCTCCCGCATCCCCCCCCTCCCCCTTCTCCCCCGACGACGACGACGACGCGTCCTCCTCTACCCTCCCCCACTTGGGATGCGACGGCTTCCCCAAAACGTGATTCCACTGCATGCTCCTACACATCCCGGATGAGGGAAACTCGCCTAGGTATCGTTTCTGGACGGGCTGGTGGGGTTGACACGGAGCCTCTAGACTTTGCAGCAAGCCCTGGCCGCTCTAGCGCGAGTCGAGGGCCGACAGAAGCCGTTGAGCCCATAACGAAACGAGCGAGATCGAGGAAGATCTTGGTGAGGAGGGGGGGGGAGGACGGCGAGGGGGTCTGAGGAGGACGGGGAGGAGCAGGAGGGAAAATATGATGGCAAATAAGAACGGAAGACGACAAATACGAGAAAATAATGGCACATGGTATGGCTTCCCCAAACTTCGGGGCACGAGGTCCCAAACGCTTTGACCTCCCGTGCGTCCCCCTCATCGTTCGACACTGAAAGTGCTCGGCTGACACTGTGACGAGACTTGCGACAGGCAGCTGGAGACACACACACACACACACAAAAAAAAAACACGCACACACAACATCGGAATGCAAACAAACATGAACATCGGAATGCACATCGAAATGCAACCGTCATGCAGATCGATCTGGAAATCGCCCTGCACAGCCAACTGCCTTCGAAATGCACATCGACATGCCTATCGACATGCACATCGACTTGTAGATCGATCTGCAGATCCGATTGCAATCGAAAATACAATCGACCTGCAAATTCCTCGCCTCCCCGCCCCTGACATCCGTTCCCCCCGGAGGCTCGTTGGTAGCAGCGAGGTCCAACTGATACATTAGGCGATGGCGATAGGAGAAAGAGGCCAGATGAGGCTTGGGAGGCCCTAGCTTAGGGAACCGAACTCTATACACCGACGCGTTTTCCGTCCCTGCACTGACATTCACACAGAAACACAGGGAAACAACTATTCACCACACCACCCCGACGTCGTCCCTGACCCTCTAAAAGTCCAGGAAGTGAAAAACAGCACGCCACTGGTAATGTATATGTTCCAGTTTCCGATAGCTCCCCCCACGCGGCTGGGACACACCCCGCGGACAATGAAGAACCAACCGAACACCAACCACAGGAATATGAACCTGGCCTCCGGGTGGATCACGGGCAACAGGCACTTGACCTCCCCATGTGTCCCTCGAGAGGGCGAGGCATGAGACTGGCCACCGCTCGGACGTCCATTCCCTGAGTTTGTTTGTCAGTTTCGTGCGTGGCCTGTTTGCCAAATGATCAAGGATGCTCCTCGATTGTCCTCGCCGAGGGAAACATGCACACGTCCGAGCGATGCCAAGGAGAGGGAGGGGAATCAGACTGAGAGCGGGGAAACGAGAGAGAGATAGACGGAACACCAAACGCCAAGAGCAAGCAACCGTAACAAATGACACGTGCTGTACGATCATCAGAGTGCGCCCGCATCTGTCTTTATCTCTCTCTCTCACACTCCTCTCTGTCGCCAGTCTTTCTCTCTCTATCTCTCTCTATTCTCTCCCTCTCCGTCTCGACGCATCGCCCCCAATCGCTACATCCTTCCATGTCGTTCCTACTTACTATTGTCGCTGATCGTTCCTTCAATCTTCCTCTGGCCCGAGATATTGTCCTGATGTGGGCCCGTGTGTAGGCGCATGACCCCCGTAGTCGCGAACGACACCTCATTCCTCTCGCCTGCCGTGTGCATTGAACTTTCTTGCTTCAAATTAGCACTTGGACACGGTACGGCCAACGACGTCCTGGCAATGACCCCCGTGTACACACACATGGTCGGAAATATTGAACCAGCTATACGCGACGCAAACAATCACAGGCCCTCAAACACACGCAATACAAAACAAACTGGCAGTTGGACCTTGCTTGAAGCCCGACCATGCCTGACCTCGGGGGGGGGGGCGATCAGCTGCATGGCTTCGGCGAGGCAAGCGCATGCATTGCCCCGTGCGAAACAAGAACACCACATGATTGCACGCGGACGCCATCCAAACACAACGAGAGCACAGTTCCTGGAGGAATGGAAAAATGATGGGCGATTCCGAAGCGCAGTTCGTCACACGATGGGAGTACAAACGATGTTTGACCGCATGGGGGGGCGGGGGCGGATTCGCACCTCGCCATGTGCGAAAGCGCCATGCGCCACTGTCTGCGTTGCACGCGGAAGCGCGGAAGGATGACAAGAGGTTGTCTCGTAGGGTCCCTCTGCCCGCGGACTGTTGCGCCCCTCCCGCCTTCCCACCACACCCACACCCACCCACCGAAGCCACTCCCCCCGTGCCCGCTCGAGGATGTTGCACCTCCACCAGGGCAGCTGACGCATAGACCCCGATTCCACGCGTGCCCGCTCGAAGTTGGTGCGCTTCTCGCGCGGCGACTAATGCCTGGGCCATCATTCCATGCGCGTCCACTCGAGGATGGAGCCCTTCCAACATGGCAATCAGACCGTCAGCCCCATGTCATGCGTGCCCGCTCGAGAACAATGCTCGAGGCATCATCCCATGCGCGCCCGCCCGAGGATGGTGCACTTCCTGCATGGCAACTGATGCCTGCCCCCCATCCGCGCGTGCCCGGTCGAGGATGGCCCACTCCCCGCATGGCAGCCCGTGCCTGCACAGCCCTTCCGTGCGCGCCTGCTCGAGGATTGCACGCTGTCCGCATGGTGGCCACCTCCTGAACCTCCCGGCCCCCGCGCGCCCGCTCGGGGATCGCTGAAGGGGCCCCAGGACACACAAATAAATACACACAAATAAAAAGAGGGGGTATCGACCCCCCCCCGGGTCAGATACGACGCCCCCCCCCCCGTACCGACCTTGAGCAACGTCGTAATTCAGTCGAAGGGAAGCCCCTTCCCTTTGATCCCTCCCCCGCCGGGAGGGGGGGGGGGTATCGACCCCCCCCCGGGTCAGATACGACGCCCCCCCCCCTACCGACCTTGAGCAACGTCGTAATTCAGTCGAAGGGAAGCCCCTTCCCTTTGATCCCTCCCCCGCCGGAGGGGGGGGGGGTATCGACCCCCCCCGGGTCAGATACGACGCCCCCCCCCCCGTACCGACCTGAGCAACGTCGTCATTCAGTCGAAGGGAAGCCCCTTCCCTTTGATCCCTTCCCCGCCGGGAGGGGGGGGGGGGTATCGACCCCCCCCCCGGGTCAGATACGACGCCCCCCCCCGTATCGACCTTGAGCAACGTCGTAATTCAGTCGAAGGGAAGCCCCTTCCCTTTGATCCCTTCCCCGCCGGGAGGGGGGGGGGGTATCGACCCCCCCCCCCGGGTCAGATACGACGCCCCCCCCCGTACCGACCTTGAGCAACGTCGTAATTCAGTCGAAGGGAAGCCCCTTCCCTTTCCCTTCCCCGCCGGGAGGGGGGGGGGTATCGACCCCCCCCCCCCCCCCGGGTCAGATACGACGCCCCCCCCCCGTACCGACCTTGAGCAACGTCGTCATCAGTCGAATCCCGCCGGGAAGGGAATCGCCCCTCACCCCTGTCAGATACCGCCCCCCCCCCGTACCGACCTTCCGTCGTAATTCCCCCTTCCTCCCTTCCCCGCCGGGAGGGGGGGGGGGTTATCGACCCCCCCCCGGGAGATACGACCCCCCCCCCCGTACCGAGAGGGTCGAAGGGGAGCCCCTTCCCTTTCCCTCCCCTGCCGGAGGGGGGGGGGTAGCGACCCCCCCCCCTGAGTCCGAAGGGAGAATTCCCTTTGATCCCTCCCCCGGGGAGGGGGGGGTACTCGGATACGACGCCCCCCCCCCGTACCGACCTTGAGCAACGTCGTAATTCAGTCGAAGGGAAGCCCCTTCCCTTTGATCCCTTCCCCGCCGGGAGGGGAGGGGGGGGTATCGACCCCCCCCCTGGGTCAGATACGACGCCCCCCCCCCGTACCGACCTTGAGCAACGTCGTAATTGAGTCGAAGGGAAGCCCCTTCCCTTTTGATCCCTTCCCCGCCGGGGAGGGGGGGGGGGGAGCGACCCCCCCCGGGTCAGATACGACGCCCCCCCCCCGTACCGACCTTGAGCAACGTCGTAATTCAGTCGAAGGGAAGCCCCTTCCCTTTCCCTCCCCCGCCGGGAGGGGGGGGGGGTAGCGACCCCCCCCCGGGTCAGATACGACGCCCCCCCCCCGTACCGACCTTGAGCAACGTCGTAATTCAGTCGAAGGGAAGCTTCTTCCCTTTCCCTCCTCCACTCTCCTTTCCTCCTCCCCTCCCTTCTCTTCTCCCCTTCCCGCCCTCCTCCTCGTCCTCCCTCCTCCTCCCCCTCCATCCTCATCCCCCTCCCTCCTCCTCCTCCTCCTCAACCGCCCCCCTCCGCAAGCTCTCTGCGGGCCGGCGCCCAAGAAGCGGCGGCGACACCTTTCTTCTGCTCCTCCTCCACCTCCTCCTCCTCCTGTCTGGGCTGAGGCCCCCGTCCCTCTCTTTTCTGGGGAAGGGTTCGCTGGAGCCGATTCTTCTCGGCAGCGCCTTTGGTTGAGCCAGAGGGCCAGTTGCTGGCTGATTCGGCCCCTGCGCGGTAGGGCACCCCAGAACGGATGTCAATATCCTCTTCCTGCTCCTGATCCTCCTCCTTCTCCTGCTCCCCCTCCTCCTCCTTCTCCTGCTCCTCCTCCTCCTCCGCTTTTTCATTTGTTTCTGCCCACTCTTCCTTCCCTCCAGTGAATCACGAATATAAACCGCCACCGTGACCCCTGCCACGTTCAGGCGTGCTGGAATGCCAAGTGCTGTCTGGTAGGGTTGCTTTCCTCTTTCTAAAGCACCCCCACACACCCACCGCAGTCACCCGCAAGGATAGCCTCTGCTTGCCGGGGCTCTGTCGGGCCCCGACACGTCTCTGGCGCTTTTCCAGGCGTCCACGAGACCGAAGATGGCTTCCAAGACGCATCTCCGGGGCCACCAAAGCCGCCCCGATGACCCAAGATGCCTGGAGGACGCCCTAACAGTCACCGTAAAGCCCCAAGAGCACTCGAAGAGGGCCCCCAAGACAGCCCCAGGACGGCAGCTGCAGAGGCGACACCACCACCAGCAACACCATCACCATCGCCAGCAGCAACCGAACCACCAGCAGCACCAGCGACACCAGCAGCAACAGCAGCAGCAAGACAAGCACCAAGACCAGCCGCCGCACCACCACCGGCCGAATAGCACGACCACCAGCTAAAGTACACCTCCCTCCCCCACCTCCTCCTCCTCCTTCCCCCCTCCCCCCTCACACTCGTACGGACCATGTCTCTTGCTGTTCATAGCGGTCAGGGTCGGCGGCACCGGCCGTAAGGCCTTCGCAATAAATACACACAAATAAAACGATTCCCCATATTTTCATATATTTTCTGGGTTTCTGTCTTCCCCCCCACTTCCCATATTTTCCCATATTTTCCTGGGAGTCGACGATTAATTGTGTCTGTGTGTTTCTTTCCCTCCTGACATAGATCGTCTTCGACGATCCCCACATCTGGACCGCGACGCTCGCGCAGGCGATGATGGCGAGAAGGGGCACGGGTCAGCAGATGCTCGATGCCGCGCGGTCGAAACACGATCTGCGCTGTCTCACAGGGGCGGGCGCCTCAGCACACAATTGCTGCGCGCCGCTGTGAGCCACGACGGCGGCGGATCACTCGCTTCGCTGGCCGTTGATCTCCGTTCAAAGCCGGGCCAGAAGAGACAACGGGCGAATCCGCTCGCAGCGTCGCTCAGCTACATCGAGGCTGCGCCGGCAGGGGCCGCGCTGCGGACACCCCCACGGACCCGTCGAGCCGTTGCACATGCGACGCATTCGCCAACGCCCGCGAGCCCGCCGCCATGAGAACATGGAGCGGCGAGCGGCCTCGCCACGCCCCGGCGCCCAGAAACACAGACGCCCGAACAAGCACTGCAGGAGGGGGCGGGCCCGCGCCCAGGCGCGGGAAAACAACCAGGCGCGCCGCTCAACAAAAATACACCTCAAACGCCGGCCCTCGCAGACACACGCTCAACCTTGAACGCCCGGTTTGCCCAGCACGGCGCGCCCTTCTTCAGTCCGTGCTCGGCTGCATGGGCGCCTCGAATCCCTTGCAAGGTTCGCTCGCGATCAATGCAACCGTTTCTTTGTCCGCCGGCTGTCGCGCCGCGCGCGTCGCACCGCTGCGCGCGAAGCTTGTTGGATGCAGGTTTGAAGGCAGACTCTGCAGCGATGCGACCGCCGCGCAAGTGATGCAGCGTGACCTTGATGCGCATACTACCTACGTCTAATGTGTTCGCGCTGAACCGGCGCGGGCGCCCCCGCCGGAAGTCCGCGACGTGGTAAGATGGCTGGGCAGCAATGTTCCAAGTCACGGGCTGCTGCTGGCGTTGCCGAGCTGCTGGGGCGAACCGCAAACCAGCGTCGCGCGCGCCGCGCGTCAACGAATGCAACGCTGGCCGCCTTGCGCGTGTCCGCGCTGAACCTGGCCGGGACCCCCGGCGCCGCGCGCCCACGCCTCATCGTCGGCGATGCCGTTCGGGCGTCGGTAGCCGGAGTCGCCGCGCAGGTCCGACTTCGCGGTTGGAATCATCTCTCGATCTGCAACATTTTTGGGGCCTGTCTGCGTCTTCCTGGCTTTGGCACTGAGTCGTCGCACCTGTGCGTCGCTCAGCCCATGGACGCGCCGTAGAGATACCATGCGCGCGATCAACCGCGCTTGGGCGATCGAGGCGCGATCGATGGCACCCCGAAGGCTGGCGAACATGTCAGTCACAGTCTTCGTCGCTGCATCTTCAGCTTCAACGCATATAGGTTCTCAGGATGCTCTATCGGACGAGACTAGTCCGTCCTGGCCAACGTCGACGCTGAGATTGTCTCAAGCGCGGCGCATCTCACGGCGCCGGGTGCGAGGACACGTCTGCAAAATTCGCACGCGCCGAACGTGGTATCTC